AATCAAAGAATGAAACAAATTCAGTGGTGGTTTATTGGTGGTGAAGAACTATTTAGTTCAACTATTCAACAGCTATTGCCGTTTATACATGATGAATGTCATCTTCTAAATACATATGGACCAGCAGAGATAACAGAAACAGCAACATGTTATGAGATATGTCGTGAAGATCTTTCTCAAATGATTTCAATTCCGATTGGTCATCCATTGTATGGTTATGATATTTATGTTGTTGATGAATATCGACAAGAAGTGATACCTAATCAACAAGGTGAAATTGTTATTGGAGGTGAGATACTATGTATATAATCGATAATATGTTTTTCTTTTGTTTACACAGGTGTTGGTGTGTTTGGAGGATATTATGAACGAGAAGATTTGAGTGAACAAGCGTTGATTGATATGAATGGAGAAAAGTGCTATATGACAGGTGATTTTGGTCGAATCGATGGTGAGACAGGTGAATTAATATTTATGGGAAGAAAGGATTATCAAATAAAACTTCGTGGACAACGTATTGATTTATCAGTAATCGAATCAGTAATAATTCAATCATCATCAGATATCTTGAATTGTATTGTAATTAAAGAAGAAGCATCGAACGATAGCTACTTATCCGCTTATATAAAACTAAGAGGAGACAAAAACAAAAATAACATTCGTACTGAACTTATCGAGATTTGTCATAATCATTTACCTTCATATATGATTCCATCAAAATGGGTTTTTGTATCTGAATTTCCATTGAATGTCAATGGTAAAATTGATCGACATCAGTTATTACATCTTTCAGAAAGTGCTGATTTACAGTCCTTATCTCCATCATTAATGACATTGTCACCACTCGAAAAAAGATTAGAAGATATTTTTCTTCGTGCTTTTAATCTAAAAACATCTCCTGACATATCAAAATCATTTGGTCAACTTGGTGGAACATCGTTAGGTGCTATGCATGCGTTGATCTTAATTCGACAAGAAATATTTGAACAAATGGATATTAGTCTTCTCTTCACTAATCCATCAATACAACAATTAGCTACAGTATTAGAACTACTTTTAAATAATTTGAAATCTATCGAAGAGAAAATCACGAATGAGGAGAACTTTGCTATTAGACCTACTTCATCATGGTTCATTGAAACATTCGGTATACTATTACTGGCATGGCAATGGTTATGGCCATTTTATATTGCAAATCATTTCAATATTTTTTTTCTTCGAATATTATTCATTCTATTAATACATTTATTCCAATATCCTCTATTTATTAAAATTTTAAATAGACCATTTCTACGCAATCGTGATGCTTTGTATTCATGGTCTTATTATCGTCTATGGTTTTTACGACGTCAGTGGTCATTGAATAAATATTGGTTAGGATATCTGTTTGGTACTCGATTTTATAATATGTATCTTCGTCTATGTGGCGCTCGTATCAATGACACAGCACAAATCTATACAAGTGAAATTGATGCACCTTGGTTGATTGAAGTGGGTAATTTTAGTTACATTGGTGAAGAAGTTGTTCTCTCGTCTGTTAGTTATCACGATTATAGTTATGATTTACATGAAATTCATATTGGATCTCATTGTTCGATTGAAACAAGAAGCGTTCTACATGATCGAGTTGATATGCATGATGGAGCATTTATAGCTCCATTAACAGCTATTACAGGTCGAATTCTTGGAATAAATGTCGATAGTAAAATTTCAAGTGAATACCATCTTAGTCACTCAATATTTCAGTTTATGATGGTTTTATCAATGTTTTGTATTCATGCATTCATTCTTCAATGGAGTTGGTCTGCATTGCCGTATCTATCTGTATGTTGGTTTATTTGGTCAATTGTGGGTGCAGCCGTTAGTTTACTTCTTCTTCGATTTGTAGTTGGTAATGTTGAAGAAAATTTTTCTCATTCATATAATTCCTGGCCATTTCTTCGTCGATTTTGGTTACGTCAATTAGTTATACATTCATTTAGTCCATGTTTATCAAGTATTTTAGATGGATTAAATTTTATTACTCCATCAATACTTCGTTGGTTAGGTGCAACAATCGAAAATAATAATATTGAAATTGTAGATTTTGTTCCATTTTTATCAATACCATCGAATCTTTTAACAATCAATTCTAATGTAACAACAACATCAGAAATCTGTTTTGTTCCATATGATATTACTATTAATGGTCAATGTGTTGTCAATGGTCGAATTCAAATTGATCGTCGATCATTTCTTGGTAATAATTGTCTTATTCGATCAGGTGTTTCTATTCCAGAAGATGTTCTTATTGGCTCTTTAACACGAATTGATTCAACAACAATTATAATGAAAAGTTAGTAAAGATTTTTGCATTAGTAATGTCTCATTTGTTATGTTTGAAAATTATGTTTAGATGATATTCTTCTTGGTGTTCCAGCTCAATCCATGCCATTCATTTTATCAGATACAGACGAAACACAAAAAGTAGCTAATGACTTTCAACGAATTGCCATGGAATTTATTCATTTTGTTTTACTTGATATATGTATGATACTCAGTCTAAGGATCACTTCTAATTTTAGTCCATTCTTGTTGTTAGTACCAACTTTCTTACTCATCTATTCATTTCTTATTCAATTTATATATGTCTATTTAATGATTAACAAATCAAATCAATCATTCGATATAGTAGATTCAAATTGGAAGATATCATTAGCAATGATATTCTATTCTCAATATGCAAAATACATAGGTCGTTTATTAGGTGGAACACAATGGCTCATCATTATTCTTCGTCAATTCGGTGCACATATTGCTAATGATGTTATCATTGATGATATCAATTCATTATATGATGTCCATTTGATTACGATTGATGATCATGTGCGTCTATCATCAACATGTCAAATACAAGTAGAGTTTTATCTTAACTATTTCCAAATATTTTTCATCTCTCTCTCTAAATAGTGTCATACATTTGAACAACGTCATTTAAAACTTCGTCCTGTTAAAATTGGTTCATATTGTATTTTTAAAGCCATGTCATTCGTATTACCTGGTGTAGAATTTCTTGGTTATAATTATTTATTTCCTTGTTCACTTGCTTTACCTCATGATCAATTTAAAATACATACGGATTGGTTTGGATCACCAACAAAACGTCTTATTGTACATCATGGTATTGAACCACCACGATTAATACTTGCTCAACAACCATCGTCGATAGATAATTACAATGTAATTGTTGCACGAACTGATGATGATATTCTTAGTCTTTATTTTGGAGAAAATGGATGGATGAGTTGGCAATCAGGTCTCAATTTACGACAACCATTTCGACCGAATGATATTTATATAAGATTATTTTTCTCATCATTTCTATGTAATTCAAAACCTAAACGTATTCTTATTGTTGG